GGTAGGCGTGGAGCCTAGCTGCACCATCGGTGTTGACATCAACTTCGATTTGCAGTTTGAACTTCTTTGAGCCGTCCATCTGGATTTTCATCTGCCACGCGGAGCTCACAGACTGGTCAAGAAGCTTGAAGCGCGCGCAAAGCACCGTTGCCCGGCCACGGCACCATTTGACCTGCAGCCTGCTTTTGGAAATGAAGCTTGACGAAAATCACGTGATATGTCGTGCCTTTATACATAACATGGTCGCTGTTAAGATATTTTGATTTCTTTGTGTCACAGTTGACTTGTTGAGGTTGGGTTGCATTTTGACATATCTGGGCTGCTCGCCCGGTGTATAAGACCTCCGGTAAAACCCACTCAGAGAGCGGCAGCCTGCTCTGCTTGCTGCAGATATAAGACTAGCTTATCTGATCAGAGCATGACATACGCATTGCATCGATCCTCGGAAGTCGTTTAAGCGATCCGACCAATCAGGAATCAGGAAAGTCCTGCTTGATTTCATTGTCCTTTTGAATCTTCGAGGACGAGATATTAATTCGGATCAATTGTGACGAAGAAAGGCAGGAGAAGAGCTTGCTTCTTGCGCAGCGGCCCGTGCATGCTGGAGGAGCGCCGGACAGAGGCGGCATTGGAAGGAAGGAATAGAGGCGTTTTCCAGCAAACTGTTGCTCGACAAGACGCAGAGAGGGTGGTGATCACTGGAACTTGAGCATCTTTCCTCGAGTGCTGCGGGAGGAAACAGAGAGATCGTGGCACGCAGGAAAGGGAATGCTATGAGGAGGCCAAGCATTGATTGACCTCAACAGAACCAGGATGAATGAAGACTTCGGAAAGCAAAGAAGGTCAAGGTCCAGCGATCCTGGAGACCGTCTCAGAGGTACCCTGCATTTGTCCTCTGATCATCGGGGAAGGTCTTTCTTTGAATATGATCCTCCAAGCTGTGACAAGTACGAGAGACATCACCACACCAGGGTGAGTTGCTTGCTGTACACCGCAGAAGTTGTTTATTTTATCGGAAGGGAGCTTCTGTGATTTGCATGGTGTACAAATTGAATCAAGAAGTCCATAGAGTCCCCTCATTCTGTAGAGGGAGTGCCTCATTCTTGAGGCCTGTTGAATCTGAGCAAATCAGCTTGATATGCACAATTCAGTCTGTGGTTCTCACACATTTATCAATAGAAGACGTGAAAGGAAGGCTTTTAATCACAGCTGTGGTTGTGCATCTGCATCATTTGCTCTATCTGGTCAAATATCTTGTTTTTGAGTTTCTGAGCTTTTACTGCTGCATACATGGTTCTGAGCAGGAATGCTGCTATCTTTCTAAAGAGATCAGTGTCAGATGAAATATCCTACAACGCTTGCTTTTGATATTTCGGCTGATGCAGCAATGTCATCGCTTGTTGGTCTTTTCTTGATGCAGGATATAGTTTGCAGCTTAAAATAAAATGCAGATAGACCTTCTTTTCTTCTTCTGCTCTTTGAAACTCTGGGGCTGAAGCTGCATGCATGTTTTGTGAGTTGGCAAGTGCAAACAGAGACCTCCTTTAGGCTGATACAGCATCGTTTGTAAGTTGATGCACACGGTCAAATGAAGCTGTGGCTAGGTAGGCAAAAAAGCCTTTTCTGTAGCATTGGCAAAGTTATCACAGACCTTGAAGTAGAAGAAGAGACCACAGGCATCCTTCTGATAGCGCTCGGCATTAATAAAGTGACTTTGACGTACAACTCCGCCTTCTGTTATTCACTTGTGCTTCTCAGAGCCTGACATTTCCCGTGCTTTATCCTGTTTTTGGTCTCGTGCCAATTCGTATGCCACGCTTCCTTCTCAGGACTTCATGCATCTTCCAAGCTTACTTGTTTCATTGCTGTGCCTGAGAGTCACAGTTTTGAGCATCCTCACTGGACTGCAGAGAGAGGAAGTTGTCATCAATGCGTAGTTGCGGACTGTTGCATACATCATTAGTGAACCAGAACCTAGCCCGATTCTCAAGCTGTTACTTCTAGTCTCTGAGAGTACGAAGCACGAGAAACAGCAGAGTCATCTTCATAAGTTTGCCTACTGCAGATTTCGTGCTCCCTCATTGGACATGGTGTGTTCATACTTCTATCACTCAAGTAAATAAGGTCTGTGTAATCTGGACTTCTTCTGCAATACCTGTCAACTTCTAAGTCTAGGTTTCTTAGTTCTTCTTGCAGAACAGCTTCTCCTGCGGCTTCTTCACACAGCCTGGGGCCAGCCAAGGAGTTGCCCCTCTCGAACGCCCCAGCAAAGTCAGGAAAGCCCCTTCCGGCACGCACGAGCACGCTCTCACCCTCGCCGCTGCTCTAGCAACCAAGCTTCCTGATCGGGTTGAAGAATGGACGCGGACCGGCCTGAAAGCCGTGACCGAAGAGCAGCGCGCGAGCATCGAGAGTTTCCTGGCGTCAGAGACGCAGGCAGCCGCAGAGTCGCAGAGCGCTTCCGAGAGCCTTGACACCGTCCCGCCTCTGGTGCACTCCGAAGAAGTGGACCTCAACGAACGGCCCTCGCGCGCTCAGCGCGGCCGGCGCTCTTTCGGCGGCTTCCTCGCTGACACTCTCTCGTCCCAGAGCAGAATCCGGCGCCGCTCCGAGTCCGGCAGCTTTCTCTCCCCGGAGCGCTGCTCCCCAGGCAAGCGGTGGTCCTTCTTCCGCTTCTCAACGCAACCGGGGAAGAGCCCCGCCCGCTCCGACCAGTCGAGCCTCCCGAGCAGCCCCGTCCGTGAGCATGACGTCATCGTCCCAAAACCACGCAAGCGTGCCATAAGCGACGGCGGCCGCAGATCCGAGCCCGTGTTCAGCCTCTCCCCAATCCGGACGTACGCGTCTCTCCCGCCACCGCCAGAACCGCCGACAGCTGGTCGGAGGTCGTTAACTGGGGCCAGCAAAGCGGGGCTCATGGACCAGCCGGCGACCGGGGAGAGCCAACCGGGGACTCCAACGCTGCCAGACATGCCCCGGGTTAACACAATCCGGTCGAAGGATCTCCCCCCTCCTTGGAGCGCCCCAAACAGTCCCCCCGCAGAGAGACCTCCCTGGAACGCCCCAAACAGCCCCCCTCCCCGGTGGAGAGGCCCCAAGAGTCCGCCGTCGAACCCGCGCCCGGTGAAGACTTCCCGGGCTTCCGCGCTGACGTCATCTGTTCCGAGCAAGGCCCCGAGCCCCGGTGCAAGCCCCCGAGCGAGTGTGCTGAGGTGGAGCAGCTTCAGGGAGCCCCCGGCTTTTACGACTCCCAAGACGAAGGACGGGTTTGCCAGGCAATCTGGGAAGAGAGCGTCTGATCCTCCGGGCGAAGCTGTCGTGACACCCGGTGCGACGCGTCAGAACCAGAGCGCCCCGGTCTCGCCAAGGGGAAAGGAAGGCAAGTCTCTGTGGAAGTCCGGCGAGAAGGCGAGGCTGAGTGACAAGCGAAAGTCCGGCGAGTCTGCGAAAGGGGCTTCGCCGGCCGCAGCCAGAGTGCTGTCTCCCCCGCCAAAGCGAACGTTCTCGCACGAGACGGAAGATTTGCTCTGGGCCGAGCAGGCGCGAAAGAAGGGCAAGCTGACGAGCCCGGTGAAGACCCCCGGGGGCGAGAAGCGCGTCGGGCGGACGGAAGAGCGCCCCCAGTGGAACGAACCGGCGTGGAACCGGAAGGCCAAGCAGAAGCAGTCGCTCAGCCCGAAGAAGCGGTACTCCAAGGTGCGCAGCGCGTCCAAGAGCCCCGTCCGAATGCTGTCCGCGAAGAAGGGCGCCAAGCGCAAGTCGAACGACCTGGAGCAGCCGCTTCTGACCGCGGATGACTCGTTTGCGGACGGCAAGCTGCCAAACGCCAACGAGAGCGCGGGCGCGGAGGATCTGCAGCTGCTCGGGAGTGCTGTAAAGGTGGCAATTGATGCGATTCCGGGAATTTCTGCCCCGGAGAATCTTCCCCCGGTGATTCCTGCTACTGAAGCCGAAAATCTCAGCCCCAGAACCCTAGGCTTCCGCTCCAACACGGACGATTGTCCGGAAGCCGAGGATGCTGAAAGCTGGGAGAAGACGGTCGAGACGGCCTTTAGTGGACCGGAACCGGAACCGGAAAAGGAAACGGAACCAGCGGAAGAGTCGCCGACGCCCGTCTCGGAGCAGAAGCGGATTCGAAGCCCCGGGATGCAGATGCGCGCCGACCCCCGCCCCATGACCTCGAGCGGCATCCGATACGAGAACCCCCTGTATGACGTCACCATGACCGTGTCGTCGGACAAGATGAGTGACGTCATCACGACCGCCGCGCGGTTCGAGCAGGACCGGGCGTTGGAGGCAATCGAGGAGGGCGCGCGCGAGGGGCGTCGCGAGAGCGGCGGGATCGGGCGCGGCGGCCGGCCGACCAGCCCCGTCGGGTTCCGGCTGACGGCGGAACGGAGCGTGAACAAGCCGGCGGAATCGGCGGAAGCGGGTGAATACAAGCCGGAGGCGTCCACCGACTCGGCCGAGAACTGGCTGACCCGCAAGTCGCTCACGCCCGCCAGCTCGCAGAAGGCGTTGTCGTCCAACGAGGAGACGTGGCTGTTCGCTGCGGAGGAAGAGGTTCCGGCGGCGGAACGGAACGCCACGTGGCAGCAGGAGGGCATGGCAGTGACGGGCGGCAAGCTGACGGTGGCGGAGTGGCTGAAGCAGTTCGCGCCCGAAGGAAGCGAAGGAGACGGAGTTGCTGGGGATGATTCGGAGCGAGGGGATGCGGTTGCACAGAAGAAAGTTACTGCGGGGAACGGCCATAAGGAGGACGCGACCGGTGAGGGGTGGGAGGTTTCGGATTTGGTCGGCGTTGCGAAGGAGATAGGAAGCGAGGGAAAGGAGAGGTCGAGTTGCTCGCTCTTTGACGGCCTGCTGATAAATGACACGAGCACGGGCGCAAAGAATGAGGTCGTGGAAGCTAACGGGTACAGCGTTGAGAGTCCTGGCAATGGCGCCGCAGAAGGAGACGGCAGCGCACTCCGAACAGAGGCTCGAGTCCACACGTCGGAGCAGGAGCGACGGGAAGAGAAGAATCCGCAAGAGGCGAACGGATTGGCAGCGGAATGGAAGCCACCGGAAGACAATCCGCTCGGAGAAGCTCAGGAGAGCGAGTCGCCCAACGGCGCGCTGCGGGAGTTTGCGGGCGCGGGCGCGCGCAGAGTGCGCGCGGAACAAGGGGGCGACTCGCTCGGATGGAGCCAAGACGAAGTGATGATGACCTCAGTGACGTGGGAGTCGCTCATTCGCGAAAAGCAGGGTAAGGAGCGCCAGAAGTCTGTGGTCCAAGAGCTTCTTGTCGACATTGTCTTTCCCATCTTTCTACCTCGACTTCTCTGCTTTCGACGTCATAAAGAATGTTCGCAGACAGTTTGTTTGGTGTTTTGTCGCAAATGAAGGTGAAACCGTCGCGTCATGCAGTTCGTTTGTATCCTACTCTGAAAATATACCCCAAAGAATCTCCGGAGAAGCATTTTCAATTTGTAAAGTGGAATCGCAGTTGGAAGAATTACTTTGATCGTTCGATATGATGATGATCAATGCAGCCCCGTCAGGGCTAGCATCTTGCTCAAACTTAGGAAACAAGAGGAATATTTAGGAGACCTTGAGATGGCATCATCTCAAAGGTTGTAATCACTGGTCTTGTTTGAAAGCTCCTGCTATCAGGTTAATCAAGCCTTAGTCAATTTTTAAGTGATTGCATTCTTGCTTGAGCTCACAACTTTGCACGAAGTTAATTGTTCAATTCCCACTGCATTTTCAGACACCCCAATACTTTCTCCAGAAGATCCCAAAAACTACTGATACCTCTTCCACCAAACAAAGCAACATTGATTTTGGCAACGGAGGAGCCGGGAACGTTGCTAAACTCAAGTGTTTTCACCCTTCGCAGAGCTCACGATTGAGGCGGCCGTCCCTGAAGCAATTGCACATCCGCACTTCTCCGAAGTCTGCTCCTCTCAAGACGAGTCAGAGAAGTCTTTCCAAGCTGATGATAAGACGGAACAGAAGGGCAAACCCGCGGAGAAGGAAGGGGAGCGAGCCAGAAGCCCAGTGCGGAAAGTGGGAGCAGGCATTGAGGAACAGGTTGCGTTCTTTGAGGCGAAGGCGTCTATTGCTGCGGACGTCTCTCCCGCAAAATCACAGGACATCGCAGTGCAGAACGGTCATCCAAAGACGGGTTCAGTTCCGGGAGCTCTGGCGGAGTTTGCCGAAGAGACGGCAAAGAAGGAAGGATGGCAGGAGAAGGCAGCGAAGGAAGCGGGCGGAACAGCCGCGGAAACGGAAAGCGAGGATGGAGAGAACGAGAGCGGCGGTGAGGACGACGCAAAGGCCGTCGAGCGACACGTGTCCGAAGCTGGACCATTTGATGAGGCCGCGGGAGCAGAGCTGAGAGGAGGGGCGCAGAAGGTTCCAAACGGAGTCTCGCATTTGGACGGAGAAGAATCTTGGGAGGTTGTGAGCGAGCGAGACTTTGAGGAAGTTCTGGGAGAGACGAGACTTGAAGTGGGAGAGAAAGGCCAGGAAGTAGGCGGATCTGGGGCGAATCAGACGAAGGACGGTGGGGTGGGAGAGGGCCAGTCTCAGGGGGACGAACAAGGGCTGCTGGGAGACGAAGCCGTAACTCGGGAGGAGAGAAGACTGTCGACGCAAGGGATGATCTTGTATCTTGGGAAGGGGGAAATCGATATGTCGGAGGTTTTCAGTGACGAGGAGAGCGAGGGCCAGGATGAAGAGTCTCCCATGCGCAGAGGAGTTTTGGCGAGCGGAGACGAGGAGATGAACGGGAAGTGGGGTCCGCACGGCAACGAGAGAGGGAGTCTTTCGGATCCAGGACTTGAGGTTGTGAAGGTGGCTGCAGAGAATGGAGAGGAAGTTCCGGCAGCGGCGCAGAAGCTTCCCGTGCAAGCGGACGGAACGGAAGAACCTCCAGCGGAAACGGATGAAACGGAACCCCCAGTTGCACTTGTGCAGAATGGTCACCACCAGCTCCTGGATGGCCCTGTTGGACGTGAAGAGCTGGCAACTGCTCTGATTCCGGTTCGTGCAGCGGAGATCGAGAACGGAAACGGAAGCGGCGGCGGAGTAGCAGAGGAGAGCATGCTGGCGGTGATCGGCGGCGGTGTCAATGACGGCCACGTGGAAGGCGCGGAACAAGGCCACGCGGCGGAACGGCCGGAAGCGCAGGATGAGGAAGAGGAGGATGACGTCACGAGCGACGCTGCGACGGGGCAAGGGGGCGGTCAGAGTGACTTCACTGACGCGGAGAATGACGACATCCCAGTCTCTTCCAATGCGATGCAGTCCGCTTGGCAGGAGAGTGACATGAACATGAACCTCGTGGCGTCTGAAACGGTGAGCTAAGGAAGATTAAAAATCTTCATTTGCAAATCGTGCTGTTTGAATCGAGGCGTTAGCGGGTGTCAGAGGAATAATCGCAGTCACAGGCGATACGCGGGGAAGTGTCGTAATTTGTGTTGCACCCTGAATCGAAACAAAAGGGAATCCTCTTAAGCCGACGGTTTTTCCAGATCGCCAGAGTCATCGTACGAAAAGAAAAGGCCAGAGACGAAGTACGTACATCTGGTCGAAGCGGAACAATCCGACTCACAGCTTATTCCGAGTCGTGTTACTTGAATGCAGGTTTTTGCTTTCCACAAAAAATAAATCGTCGTCAAGCAACTTCCAAGTACTTTCCCGATTATTTTTCAGAAGCAGCAGCCAAACGATGAATTTGCCTTCCTCAACAAACTATTCGTCGCAGGAGTACTGGCCCGACCAAGAAGCGCTTCCAGCGGCCCCTCAGTTCGCGATGTTCCCTCCGGAGCCCCGGAAGCCGCCGCCACATCCAGCAATCCAGATTGCGAAGGTCGGCGGCATTCTGGCACACGCGGCTGTGAAGACTGGAGTTGGGATGAGCTACATCACGCTGCAGCAGTGCGGAGTCCTCGCCAGAGTTGCAACTGGAATCCTTATTGACGATGCAAAAAGTGTCACGGGCGGTCTGTTCAAGTTCACTGGTAGAATGCTCGGTTTTGGGTGAGTGTAGCACTTGTAGGATGTTCGATTTCAGTTGAGAGTAGTATATTGCCAAAAGGAGCCTCCAAAGTAGGTCATATCTGCGTTTACCATGTAAAAGGCATCTAGGGGTAAAAGTCAAAGTCATGTCAGATGCAGAGGGTTGTTACTGTCGTAGTCGAAGAGTGTATTCATATGCAGCGGAATTGAAAGCGTGAACTTTAGTTGAAAGAGCAGAGCTCAGATGTATCATTCACGGCTTTTGTCGTTTATTCCAAGCTATTGCACATCTGGCGTGACATGGGAGGGCTATACTATAAGCCCTTCAGTGCGATACACTCATGTTGGGTACGTTGCGGCGACGGAAGGCTTAGTACGTGCGGTCAGGCCCGCCGGGCCTGGAAAATCATTCGCAAGTCGGGCCACTGAGATAGTGAGCTCAGAATCCCATCTAGATATATGGAACTTATACAACAACTGTCATATCAAAGTAAGTATAGGATAAGCCGGCCAGCGTTGCATACATCGAGCATAATGCGTCTAGCTGCTTGTGCGATTTGAAGATTGTGTTGAAGATTGAGATTCAGTCATTGACAATCCGCGATCCAGGCCCGTGCAATGTGAAATATGATTCTGCGGATCCATAGGCGGTCATGTTGCTTCCCGCGCGCTGCAATGGCCCTCCCCTCAGTGCCGGAGGCAGCGCGCCCCCACAATACCGATTACGTATCCCTACCATGGTCAATTCTGACTCCTTTTGAACGTATGCCGTCGGAGTGGGCGGCCATGAGAAATAAGTTCAGGGCTAGAAGTGGACTTCGATGCACACTTAATTTGAAGTAGCTCGAGGCCCCTGTCCTCATATCTTGTTGATACAGCTGTCTCTAAACCAAGATCCGACTACGTGAACAAAAAATGTTACACATTGCCATGCTGGTATGGGCCAGACATGCATCATAGAAGATCATAGACGGGTTGTCTGGCCTGGCGGGAGATCACCATATTGGGACAGAAAAGCAGCTCCGGCAGGCTGCCCTTATATTCAAATCCAGATTTTTGAACCTGACTGCGGGTTCACCTTTCTAACCTAGGGACCTGGAGTGCTTATTCTAGCAGCTTAGAAAAGAAAGCGAGTCAATGTGTACTGCAACACCTCCAAAGCCCCTTGCGCTGCGATTTGTGCGTCTGCCCGGCTTGCTCTGCAACAACTGGGTCTGCAATTGCGGGTTCGCCTGATTGCCTGCAAAGACGGCGAACGGATAGTTGCCACTGCATCTACATTGCCGTAGAGGTATTCTACAGGACATTCTGGCCCAACAGATTCGTATGTCATAAAACATTTACATCGAAGATAGCACGTTCTTATGCACTTTCGGAACCAGCGAACGCAGATTAAAAATCTGCGCTCCTTTACCCGGTTCTACAAAAGGCGTCCGCTTCCGGCAAAGTCACCTGGGCCCCTTGCACCGTGCCCAGACGGCAAGTCCCGTTGATGACATCAGCCCGACCCGCCAGGTGAACCGATTCTGCAGACAGGGGGATCGTGAGAAAGAGGGATCACCCTGACCGTTTCGATGACGCAAATGGAATTTCAAACCACTGATGGAAGCTTTGAATGTAAGCATATGAGAGTGCAATGGGGAGGGCCAGACTGTGAACCAGTGAAGCGGAAACTCAACATTCCACGGGCAGTACTTGCAAAGTCGATTTTGGAGGCCAGAACCGCGGAGCCCTAAACGCGCCCTTCCTGTGAACCCATCATAGCAGGTTGCTGTCATCTTTCCAAAAAGACTTCTCATGCGTCTGCGTCAAGGGCAGACAATACTTGGACACGAAGGAAAGAGAAGACACTATCCGCCCACACCCAAGGCGCACAAGAAGAAGTACCTCTTCAAGGCGCTCAAGAACACCAAGTTCTTCCAGTCCACCGAGCTCGACTGGGTCGAGGCCGGCCTCCAGGTACGCACCACAGCTTATTGGTGGATGTCTTCGGATTGCTTTCGGAGGCTTTGCTGTATCTTGCTTCACATCCTTCTGCAGTATCTATTATACTCCTTGCCTTTGGTATCTGGAAAACAATTGGGTTTACATCAAAAAGAGGGCCACCTCGTCGAAGCTTACCAAGCATCATAGTTGGTTTCAGATATCCTACCGCTCCCCAAAACCTGCCTTTCTGAGCCGATCAACACAGAAACGGGTTCACCTTCCATTAAGACGAGACACATAAGGAACCATCTCACGCTTGCCCTCATGAAATGGTTTAACTTGACAGGTTTTAGCTGTGTCTGTATCAAAGCCGTTTCCTAGTCTGCAGAATCCTTACAACAGGCTGCTTGTGGACAACGTATTCATTACAGAAAAATGATATAACAGAACCGTTCCAGCCAAATCCGCACCTGCCCCTTGGCCTTCAGTTGAGAAGTTGTCGCCACACGATTCCCGTGCGTGTGCTGAGCGCGCCTCTAACGCCCCCGGATGAGCACCAAAATCCCGCCTTTTGCTTTTGCCAGCTGTCTCTGCACTTTCGGAGTCGTCACTGACTTCGATCACCTCCAACTTGGATGAGGTACAGCCTACCGGTGACCTCGTTTTTTTGGCGGGACGTTGTTGCCCAGTGACGCCATACGCTATGCTGCCACCCGGCCTGCTCTTGATCTGCGGCTCTGGTTGCTCAACCGTGATGCTCTTTTCTGCGGAGATGAGTAGGGGCGCTAGCTTCTGAGCTGCTCTTTCCATCTGGCGCCGAAAGGCGTCAAGCACTCCAAGGGCCAACTCTAGCAGCCCAGAGGTGTCTCTACGGCGCCCGGGAAAGCGTTCAACGCAGGTGGCCAGCACTCGTAGTGGCATGGCGTCCTCCTTGCATTTCCAGAGCAAGTAGGCTATCTGGATTTCAGCAGGTTGCGCAACTGTGGGGGGTGCCATCTGCAGGAGGGGGGTTTTCAATGAATACTGCAGAGGGAAAGGGGTGGTCAGCAGCCGATTGCCCTGAGCTTAAAAGTCGTGAGGGCTTCAAGCAGCGATGGAAGGCAATCTAAAGAGTTGATGTCAGTAAAGGTGCCTTCTGCGGCCCCTTCTTATACTTACAAGGGTCTTCTTGCCGATAAACATAAGAAACGTCATCTCGGAGAGTTGGTCATTATGAAGACTGTACAAGCTGTTTGCAACTGCAAAGGCTGCTAAACGATTGTATTGACGTTTCAACTAGTTGACTTTCAAAGCCTGACACACGTTTAGCCACTATCGGAAAGAGATGACGAGCACACGTGGTTTCACCTGTGGAGTTGATCAGACACATGCTGACCAGCCCAAACAAATTGCAAATTGCTCTACAACATAGGGGCTGTCTACCAACTTCAAGCGAGCTGGGATGCCTGCGAGAGCCTTACCTGGATGAAAGATGACAGTTGCAGGTAAAGACTGAGAGCAGATTTTGCCTTTGGTGGCGTCCTCGTGAAGATACAAACGATCGCTCTTTTTGCTTCTGCCTCTGATTCTGACAATGCCTCTCCTATCAGCTGTGCTGCCTCGATTCTCAAGGGCGATCTGTCATCGGACAGCCTCTTTCCTTCAAGGGAACGGTTGAACATTCCGATGGTGTCCTTGATGATCCACTTTGGCCTAACCTGATGATTTCTTCCTTCTTGTCCCTCCATAACTCTGCCTTTTCTTTTACAAGTACTTCTGTTTCTAATGATGACCCCACTGCAGATCCGATGTCAGACTGTATAAGACAGGAAAAGATAGGGTGTCTATTTACGGTGCAGCCACGACGACATCCTCATGCCAACAAAAGCACGGTTTGCGATCAGCAAGCCAACAACCGTTTGAACCATATGCTGGAGAGACTGGATAGACGAAAGAATACACTGGACAAAAAAGCAAGCCTCTTGCCCTTTGTATAAAGCCCTAACTTCAGCTCAGCTGCGAGCCAAACTGTCAAGATTTTGTGTCAGTAACAGCATCAAACTCTACTCAGTCAAAAATTCAATTCTGGCACAAGCTTCTTACAAAGAAGAATCACTGCCGCAATCAACAGAAGGCCCCGATGCGAGAAGAGCATGCTATATTCAGATTCTGAGATGATTACATGAAAGAAAGCTACAAATGGCAATATCACTGTGGAGTCTGCTAATCACTCGCAACTGATATTTGACAGGAAGCTCATCATTGGCGACGGACAAGGCCTTCACCATGTCGTCACTCCCGATTGGCCTGCTTTTTCTGTTTGGGCAACCCTCTCTGAAAGAAGGTTCGTCGCATCATTTCCGTTATACGTCCCTTACAAAGTTTTGCTGCCTACAGATGCCATTCGTGGCGACCCACAACCTAAACTACGCCTTCACCGTTTCGTCCGTCACATTCAGTTTGCTTCTTTTGTTCGGGTACCGCCTCGGAAAGGAGGGCCCCCGAATCGCGGGCTTTCGTCTCCTGCTCATCGCGCTCGGGTCCGCGATCGCACTCGCCACCAACCTAGTTATCAAGCCGTTCTTCGTGGGGGATGAGTTGCACGAAAAGGTCGCCAAGAACTTTGAGAAGGTGAGGGAGAGTTGCTTGAGCGGTCTTGAAGAATTTGGAGAAATACGAGACGGCGAGAAGCGACTGCGTTTGCACGTGGTTGGAAAAACCGACGCGGGCCCACGACCGACCTAGTTGTCACGCCATTCTTTTGATGACGAGGAGTTGCGCCCTTCTTCGGTGAGAGTTGAGGCGGTGGGGCACGCAAGCAGATTGCGCTGCAAATTTTTTGAGAGGGACCTCGGCCAACGCCCCTGCACGATGTTTGACTTTTTCACATAACGCCATAGAGTGTTCAAATCCAAACTTCCTGAAGGCGGATTACTCCGTCCTATAGCCGACAAGTGGCAGGCGGTTGCCATGCCTTGCGTAGTTTGAGGGCCCTGCATTTGTCGACAGGGGACTTGAAGAGCCACGACTCCAAGGATTTTGCCGGTTCGTAACCTCAAACCGGAACCCTCAGAAAAACTCAACCCCAGTACCAAACCCTCGTTCACAGGTTGCGAGCACTCAGGTGGTCGCGGTCCGCGACTTCGTGGAGGGCCTGCGGCTGGCGCCGCTGCACGGGATTGAGGGCACGCAGGACGATGACGTTATGCACCTGGGCTACCGTGACGTCATCCTGTCGCTGGCCGCCGAGAAGACGCTTGGGGAATTTTCGTGTTATATCTTTGTTTCCATGTCACGTTATCTGGCGTGCTTAATTCGTGAAATGGAAGATACTGTCTGCGTCTTGCTGGCTGCAAATGGTAGGGGAGACGTTGATAGATATTTTGGTGTTGAGCTTCATCAGATTTCCGTTATTGTTGGAAACCCCGGAATTGTAATGCCAAGACACTGAAGGTCGAGATTTTGAACAGAACGTCACGCTTTATTGGTTAAGGGGAGAAACTGGTCGACGTTTGGCATACTAGTATCGAGGGTGCAGCTCTCAAGGTTGAATTCAATCAAACGACCAAAAGATTGGGACGCATCAGTACAAGCGACTTCCTACTTCTTACCATACCCCTGCCCTCCATGCATCACACGCACAATTTTTGAGAGCTCAACCACAGCCCTGCCCCTTATCTGGATAATGTCCAGGCAGGGTGTCTCTCACCTCGCTGGGGCTGCTCTCTTGCCCCGTCGCTAACCCGCTTTCCCCTTCTCGCGGCACCCACCCAAATGTTGAGAGGGCCCCGCAGGGGCCGTTGACAGTCTCCCTACTCCTTTCGTGATTATCTACTTGTCTCCAATGAGTCCCTTTCTACCACTGTTCTGACAGTCATTCGTCGTTCTTCTCCAGCACACGCACACCTCTTGGGAGCCAACCCACGGACCCATTCACACTGCACCACCCTTGGCCTCTCTGCATGAAAGTCTCCATCAAGCTGCGGCGGTGCGCGTACGGCTTGATCGCACTGGACGGCTGCCTGCGGTCCGAGATCCAATGTCCGGTGATCGTACGGCAGGTGTTTGCGGACGCGATGCTCGAAGTGCGGCCGAGGCAGCCGAGGTAAGCTTGACACGTGTCACAGTCTGATAGTGGCATTCTTTTTCAGATTCCAGAGTCCGGTCGTTGTCCAGCAGATTGTTTTGCGGACGCGATGCTCAAAGTCACGGTCAAGGCTGCCAAGGTGACTCTGTCACAAACTCGTCAGTCGCCGCTTGAAGTCAGAAGGTGGGACTTTACCGTTTAAGGTTCAGTAGATTTGTGACAGGTTCTGCAGAGCTCACTCTCAGTCGCAGCCGCGGCTGTCATGGACAGCTTGACACGTGGATAGTCTGGCAGTAATGTTTTCAATCGGGCTTGATGGATTCACTTGCAAGATTCGTTCAGTTGGTGCTTCCGGTCAAACGCATGGCAGATTCGTGGCTAGCAGCCCTGAATTGTGTTCTCTCACCCGACCACTTTGGCGACGACGTCGCATGCCTACCAACCAGGAGGCCCATACGTCACATTCTCGACAGATGAATTTATTTTATAATGGACGTATCCAGAGCAGAACATTTTATCACCTTTAAGATCAGTCCTGACAATCTTCAAAAGTGCACAGCTTTTCTTTATTGCTTTCCAGGCAGTCCGCATCCTCGGCAAGAGCATCGCCGACATGAGCAGCTTCGACCGTGCTCAGCTGCTGACACGTGTTGACGCCGCGTGCCTGCGACTGGAGCGGCAGATCCAGGAACGCGCAGAAACGCTGGTAGTCCCTACGGAAGAAGGCTCGCAGAAAGGATGGTGGCACGATCTCACCGGACTGGGCGAAAATGAAAACGCGGGGAATCCAGTCCGGGATGGATCGGGAGAAAAGGTGCAAAACGGAGGAGCTCTGGGCTCAAGAGAAGAAGGAAACGGCATCTTGAAGGATGGAAGGGGGGAAGGGTTGGGAGATCCGGGGTCGAGAACGTCAGAAGAGGGAGGGGAAAGGAGGCTAGTCGACCGAGGGGGCTGGAGTTCAAAAGACGGAACGGGGGCCGATTCACGAGAGGGCGAAGCCGAGAGCGGCGGACAAGGTATCTTAAAAGCAAATTTGGGCGCCCAATCAATGAAAGGAATAGTTGAAGGCGCTCCGGAAAGTTTGACGGAAGCTGCTCTTGGTGCTGACGTCATAAGAGAGGCCCAAAAGCAGTGGAACAGCGCCGACGCGTCAGCTTACGGGTCCGTGGAAGGAAGTTCAAAAAGCGCGGACGATGCGCGGAGCGTTTTCGAAAGTGAATGGGAGGATGTACCGGGGGGGCGGAGCGAGGTGCACGTGGGTGACTTGTGGAAGGACACGTGTCTAAGGAAGTTGTGCAAAAGGCGGTGCTCCGAGCGGAGCACGCGTGTGCGGCGCGGCGGTCGGCCTCTGCTGCGGACATTCTCGTGCGAGCGCGCGGACTCTTTGGGCGTCGAAACCTTCTCGATCCTCGTCGGGGGAACTTTGGACAACGGAGGAAGCGACGTACCTGCACATAACTTGTTTCGTTCTGCAGAATATGCAACGCATGCTGACGTTGGCTATCCTTGTAAAGACGTCGAGTCCTCTTTTCAACAGCAAGAGGCTGGCGAAATCATTGAAAGTGCACATCATGACGGGTTGGGTCAGCGACAACTCAGTGTTGATTTGGACGATGTCGGTGGAGTTGCGGTCCTGCAGTCCGTCACCTTTGCGTGCCTATTGGTTGAGTTTGTTGCCCGGTTGGCGCCTTTGGCCGGGTCGGTGGAACAGCTGAGCATCAAGGCGGAATTCACGGCGGAAGGCCGGAACGCGGCCAACAGTTCGGACGACAGAACTCGGGAAACAACCTTTGTGGGAAAAGGGTTGAAAATCGATGAATGAACGGGACACGGAAGACGACCTTATATCAGATTTCCATAGCAAATGTGTTCTACATCGGTGATAGTCGTGACATCAATTGACCAAAGTCAATTTGTAGAACCTCTTTTTATAGGCGCCGAGCGAGCGCGCTTGGGGGCCACCGTTGATAGACTGAACAGCGTCAGCCTGGCAGTGCCGGAAAGTTACGATCATTGGTTGATTCTGCTCTGTACGTAATTTTGGAAAATCAGTATGCCTATTTTAGATTTCGACGATAGCCGTAGCGTGAACGGGCTGACTGCCGATCTCTGTGCGCGGTAGTCTACGAGTACCCCTCGCTGTAGAATTCATATATGAAGCTTATATACTTGCCAGGCCCACTGGTGATGTACTATAGTTGTGACCTTAGCAACATGCCGTGGTATTATCAATCAGTATTCACGAATTCTGTCTTAAATCGCGACAACTATATCACATCACCACTGGCATGCATGGATATAGCCATGGATACTTCTCTCATAGCCATCGCTGCGTGCATGCATGTGCACGAGTCCTGCATGATGTCAGTAAAGTATAGACGTGATCATTTCCGGCATTCTTGAAGCTGCCCATCTGATCGGTTGCTGAATAAAGGATTCAGTCATGATGCTCAAGTCTCTGTGCATTGTCTTGCATGGCGGCGCCTGCACGCTGTGGGCCGAAAACCCTGGTCTCTTCACTGCGGTTCGGGAACCATCCTCTTCGAAGCCCACAGGTGGTCGTCGCAACTTCGTTTGTCTGCCTTTGCTGTAAGTACTGCGGATTCACTTTTTCCTCTCTTCTTCTTCCCTCCGCCTCCGCCTGATGGTTTGCCACCCTGCGACATAACATCAGCGGACATAACTCGAATCTCAAACGGACAAAAGACGTCCACTTGACCCGTCGGCAGTATGTTGGCAAGGTAGTTTAGAAATGCACCTTGCTCGTTGACTTAGGGGCTTCGACGATAAGCCCGGTGGATTCGGCCTCTTCTGCTCTGTCGTAGGCTGAGGCCAGAACCCCTCGACAGAGACGGTCTGCTTTGAATCAAGATTCGGTTAGGTGGCGACCGTGTTTCAGCTGCTCAAACCACGTTTTCGGAGACTGTTCGCACTGGAAAGTTCGATGCCAGATTCAGCAACTTTGACGCCTGGAGCGGGTCGGGCACAATCTGGACGTTCACGTGGTTTATCTAGTGCCGGAGTGTTTCCCATCGGAGATTTACCCAGCCGGCTCCGGGCACCCAAGTCAACCCAAACGTCGCGCTGGCAGCTGCGCCCACTTTCTGAAGTCCTGCAGCTACAGAGGACATGTCTGACAAAAGTTCCGATTGTCTGTCGCTTTTTACTGCTTCGTAATCCCGAGATTACAACCCAAAGAAACGTGCGAAGGACTGCGCCGACCAACACGCCAAACCACAGCACAATCTAGTCAACAGCAACGTTAGGACAAGTCGATCTTAATTGTTCTGACTTCTCTCTCTTTCAAGCGTGGGGTCCACGCACGTGGCAGTGACGTCAATCCTACGGTGCTGAAGATGGCAGCGGCCAACTTCTGGCACCTGGAGGTACCGTACCGCGCTTCGTGGGACGAGCGTCCGAGCACTGCGGTGCGGACGCTTCTGGAAAGAAATGCCAAAGGCTGTCCAAGTCTAAGAAGGGACTCGAGAATGGCGGATCGCCGTACACCTGCGTCTCGAGCACTGGGAATGGGGCGCATGCTCAACTGAAAGAGAGGGCGCATGAGGGGAGATCTGATACTGGTGGTAACGTTCTGGATACTTCTGATCGAGAAGAGGAGTTGAATAAACCGAATTCGGCTGGGGAAGGAAACTTAGAAACTAGACAGCGGAAGGAACAGTATCGGACGCACGCTATTGAGTTGTCAATACGGGACGCTTTGCATCTAGACTTGACTGCGGACTGCCTGGTTACGAAAGTTCCTTACAATAGGTTCCTTGGAGTTAGCGAGGGCGATATAGAAAAGCTGGTGCGAAAACTGAGAGACTGCGCCGAGCGTTTTGTGTCCTTTGCGGGAGCGCCTAATTTGCAAGCTAAGTTAGAAAAGGAGAGTTACGAAGTGATCACAGAGGTAGACATTGGGAGACGAGGTAAACGGTACATGTCGTGGGCTCGCTCAAAGCACCGTTCTTCCACAAAGCATCAAGCTGCGCTTGGTAGGCAGAGTACGACAGTCTATTGAAAACAGCGGACAATTGTGTATGTTGATGGTTTCTTCTGGCAATCACTAAGGGCCTTTGCACACAGAGCGGGTGTTGTTGGTTTCGAGCGACAGTACAGCAGGGGTCGCGGCGGTACCGTCGCCAAGAAAACACCGAGGGTGTTGTTTGCAATTCGCCGACTCGTACGGTCATACGTCAAAAACACCGCGGTGTTCCAAATCGTCACCACGCTTTTGAGCGTGGTGACGACGGTGGTGAAGTTTTGCGATGACAATTTGACCGTCGCACGGGACCACTTTTGCGTGCGGAAGGTGCCCCCCGAAGTCGCGTCGGCAATTCGGGCAAAACAACACCTTCGGGTTCTCGGCGAATTGTCCAAAACAACACCCGCTTTGTGTGCAAAGGCCCTAAAGCAGGACTGATCGAGGATTTTCTTACATGATGTTGTGGATGATCGAATGCGTGACATTCTTGGGGAGTCTCAAGCGTAATTCTAAGAAGCTATCCGTGATGGGCCACAATCACGCAGTGCCAAATCTCTGCGGTCAACTCGTCGGACGCTCAGTCTGCTCGAACTCATGTAGCGGGGTGAGCGTTGCGGTTTATCACAGAATGGATTAAATCTCGCACTCAATCATGCACAGGCTCGATCAGTTGCTGGCAAGCCTGCGAGCTGTTCAGCGATCGATGCGATTATGACGCATGCCCTGCATACACATACAGCTAAGTTCATGCAAGTACCGGCACTGCAGCGTTGCAGCTACCGTACTGTGCTGGTCCCCAAATTACCGGCCCCCGGCCGCGGGCCGCCGACCGCGCCGCACTGCGCGTATATACTTCCGCATGTGAATGTTGGCTCGTCGAACGTTCTTTATACCATGATTTTAAATGCTAGTTCAAAGTTGTCTTGAAATCATGCAATTGCAATTGAAGGTCATGCCCCGGGTGGGTAGGGCAACTAGGGTCGTAAACCCGGGCAATGTTTTTGAGATAAAACAATGTTTATCTCGTTAATCCCAATATATTCATGATTGTTTTCAACACGAGCTCGTTGAGAGCTTTCCAAAAACATCCTTGGTTTTAAAATCTGGCCCCCCTAGGGATTTATAAACATTGACAAACAAGTTTAAACATCAAATGATGTTTGTACATGTCGTCGGGCGAAGCCACGATTTTCTGAGTGCAATAAACTTACAAAACAAACATACTCATTGTTAAAACATGGTTAAAACATGTTTAAACCCAAAAAACATGTTTAAACCATGTTTTTCGTGTCTTTCCGTGTTTAAACCATGTTTATAACCATGTAGGGACCCACACGTTTCTGGCGGTCCCAGCCGATCACCTGTACGTTTAAAACATGAGTTGCCTACCCGGGGCCCCGGGGGTCATGGCGGCATCATCTCCATCGTTGTATATGTTGGAGCATTGGGCGGCCGGGCCGGCAGGCCAATGGCATGCAAGTTGCGCATGGCCTAGCCTTTAGTCATGCAGAATTATCGGCTAGCCTGACAATGGTTGACTCTTAGCTATATACGCATGCAAACGATCATGCATATGCATAGCTGACATAGCTAGCTCACTGGCTATGTATATTGTATTCTCAGCGCGACCATCGCAATGGCGCGGTTCTATTGGCTTCCCAGTATATATATGTATCTTTCAAGTTACGGTACGCAATTCTAGCGGCAATTCGAGTCATGTCCCACTGCGAATACTTAAAGATACATTAGATCTCACAAGTAACATTGTTTGAGACGTGAGCCGTTTGCAATTAAGGTCGGACTTCGTCTATACGACGTCGCTTGAGAGCCCCCATATGCAAACTTATTCGAACTAGCTTGTCAGAAATTTGATCAGGTTCGCGATCATGAAATTCAGGTTTGCGATCACAAAAATAAAGCCCCAGTCCCAATGCCATGAGCAATTTGAAGATGCTGGTGCGCCGGGGACTCGGCCCGGTCGGTCGAAATCGTGAGACTGATCGAAGTCAAAGAGTACTATATGAGCTGAGCGGGACCAAAAGAACGACGGACCGCTTTTACTGGCATAGCCATCCATTTCAAATTAACCGTCTCGAGCTGATGAGACTTCAAAATGCTACACAGCGGACGGCGTTGCCGCTCAAGCTCTTAATTCTCATTGTTTTATTTGTAAGGGTCATTACTCAAGCCCGAATCGGAAGCACAACAGACACAAAGACACTCGTAGGTGCACCTATGCAAGCGGCAAAACTAATCCAACGCACAAATTTCTTTCTATATGGTCGCCGACTACATCCTCGTGCTAGGCTCTTAGATGGTTTGATTAAGCGATAAAATTTACATTGGGTTTCTCGGATCTGGTTAAAACCAGATTTTTCTCCGCCAAGCTGCAATCTGAAAGAGCCCTGGCTGGGGCGTGTCCGCGCTCTTTACAGTGCGACCAAGCCTTTGAGGGTGAGATGCGGAGGTGCCCTGGAATACCTCCCTCAAGTCCATTCTCACCGGGTGAGACGAGACATGGTAACTGTGCCCGACGTCGATAAGGTTTCCAACACTTGCGCAGTCAACCCGGTCGAAACGGTCTTGCTGGGCTGGGGGCAGAAACCCCTCCAGTCTCGGGTCAGCTCCCACTCGGACTTCGGACCAATTAATCCAAGTAGATCCGCGCAACGCCCAATCGTTTGCTGAAAAGTAGAGGGTTACCCGGCTGGTAGGGTTGATGTGCCACAGACCCGACTTGAGGCCCCGCCTGAGTGCTTCGACGTCGATGTCAGAAGCAAGGCAAACCACTTGCCTCAGAGCCTCACGATCCTCAATGGGAAAGTCGCGGGTTAATGCGAGGCCATTCATGAGCAGTTGGTTGCCCATGCTGTGGGCAAATAAATAGATCTCGCGCACCAGGGGCTCCCCATCCTGTAGACAGAGCGTCACGCTTCAGAGGAAAGGTGCTGACAACGAGCTGCTTCGGAAATTGCAAGCAAGCAGAGCCCCTCACTGGTTCCGCATCAGATTCTCGTAATATGCAGCTTCAAAAACGTCTTTCGAAGTGGCAGAAGGAAGATGCGTTGACACTGCTACGACTTGATTTCCGTCAGCGGCTTGAGTCGACAGAGTCAGTCGAATGAAAGCGCTCTCTCGGGTACAAAGTTTCACCAGACACGAGGATCCAGTACCCAATCCAGGTTGCGTCTCTTTACGAGTTGCTGAGATGATAAAAAAAGCAGAAGCCGTTTGAGGAGTTTGGACAACGGAACCAGAAAAGTAGATTGTTGATTGAAGAAACGGAAAGATAGCCCCAAGGCGGAATGGATTCGAAGTTCTTCCAAATGAGTCCGCAACACTCAACCTGAGGAATATCCGCCCACTCTCATGGACGGCTTTGACTGCTCTACTTCGAAACAGCTTTACTTACTGGAAAAGGGATGCCACAAAACCCGGTAGAGGTCCTGCTCAAGGGACGTAAATGCCGCCCAGCAAGCTACCAGAGAACTCTCCGCAGAAGGGTTCAACGTTGAGAACGGTCGCAAACTAGCGATAGTACTGAAAATTCGAGAAATGAGGACTCACAAGTGGATGTTGTAGAAGCGGGATCACGCCCTTTCCTAGCGCTCCGACACCGTACGTCTCACTGTCGCCCAGTCCAAGCCGGAAGAAGCTATCCGTCGAGGTGGGTATCTGCCTCGCGTCAATATGGTAGCAAGGGCGGGCGTTCTTTGACGGCCAATCGCAGACGATACCAAGCAAGTCGTTCTCGGGGCTTACTGCAGCCATGATCCTTGCTGCCATCAAGATGGCCTGGTCGAAGCCTACACAGTACCCGTGGAAGATAAGGACCACCTTGTCTACATTGAGACGATTCAGGTGCCCCCGCAGGGAGTCGATGATAGTATGCTGGTACTCGACTCGAAACGTTTCGGCCCTGCACTGCTCTGGTTGCAGAGCTTGCACTCGCTCTATCTTGACCTTCCTCGCCTTGTCCAACTCAATGGCCTGCTCCGGTAAGTGCGCGGAGACCCAGCCGCACTCGAACGCTCCGTGCTCCTCTGCCCTCCTCGTGTTTGTATAGTGGGACGAAACTTTCTGCGGGTCCCATTCTGCACTCCTTGCCCTCTCCGTGAAGTAGAACAGCTGAACATCCCGGGACGCATCCACACGTGAAATTTTACCGTGGAAAGAGAACGCCTCGATATCTCCAGGGCTGGGCAGGACCGAATACGTTCGCGTCTCTCGAGCGTCCGTGACTCTTCGGCCACTTCCGTCGCCTGCCTCCCTGCTGCCGCCTCCTAAAAGCACGTACCCTGAAGGAGCTCCGGAGTCAGGTGCTGCCCTCGCATACGGGACAACATTCCCCTTTGGCAGCGGCGTCCCCTTCTTTGAGAGAGCATTTCCCCGCTCTAAGTCGCCTTGCACCACTTTCAATAGCTCCTCAACAAAGACGCGCGACCGGTTAAGGGCAGAGCTCCGTGCCCAGGACTCCAACGTCTCCCAGAAGGCGACGTCCCCAGGCTCGTTGCCCAGCTCGCGGGCAACAGACTCGGCGAAATCGTCAACGTACTTTTCTGCCCGTCCCCCTCTCTTGAGGGAAGATCGATAGATGCGGTGCGCCCACGGCCGTCTCCAGCAGGCTGCCAGCAAGCCCACGCACTGAACATCCCCGTCGATAAGGCATCTCAGCGCCCCCAAGATGTCCTCCGGCTTTTCCGCCGTCTTGAGAGCTTCCCGTGCCTTTTGCAGGACAGGCCGGATATCCTGGCAGAAGTCGAGCCACGTGGCGGGCATCGAGGCATCGCCCAGATTGCACCCAGCATCTTGGACGCTGTCTAAAAACAGCTCGTCCGAGTCGTCGTACAGGCAGTGCAGGAAGCCGAGGATAGGCAGGACGCTGAGCTGGAAGTTGCACAGCGCCGCCGGCCACGAAGGAGGGAATGACTGGATCAGCTCTGGAGAAGGCGGCTCAATGCGCGGCTGCTCAGGAATCTCCACAAACGGCTTGCCTGGAACATAAAGGGATCAACGGTCACTAAATTCCTGAGTGATGGGATTCTGGAG